ACATTAATGGAAATGAAAAACTGAAAAATTGCACTTGTACATTATACGATAGATGAAGAATAATGGTAATACGTAATCGTGTATCATCCTAAGTGGCTATACAATACAGTAGTAGAAATGATACACTTATACATTAATATACTGACAACGAAATATGCTCATTAATACGAAAGGTTACGATTAATGATAACACATAATCAAACACAATTTTTTTTTTGGTAAAAAAATCTTTCGTATTAATGCGCATATTTCATTGTCAGTGTACTATTTCTATTAATGTATAAATGCATCATTTACCATGTATAAATGTATATTAATGTATAAGTGTATCATTTCTACTACTGTATGTATAGCCACTTAGGATGATACACGATTATGTATAAGGTATATACTGTAGCCAAGTAACATTATATACAGTAGCGCAACACTGTTTGCAACGTAGCTAGGATTACAAATGTTCAATACAACGGTTACCATTCATGAGAATGGCCGTTAGATGTGGCATGACAATCAGCACAACACTGAAGAGAATTTCAATTGTAATTATTGATAGAGAATAGTTTCTTTTGCTAAGGCCAATAAAGACGTTCGACCTCTATATACATGTAACGGCAGCTTACCAAAACCGAAAGTTAGTTTGCAAGATCTGGAGACTTTTGTGACCATTTAGTAGAGAAAGAGAGACTGAGGGCATGCCATCATCGAATTTCGATCACAGTAAGTGCTGGGCATGATTGCAGTATGCGCCGAAAGTTTGATCGTTTGTGAATATTACTCTATGGAGTTTTTGCATCTTTTCTAAGAAGGGAACGATGCTGTCTTTTAAAAGCGAAATTGATGGTCAAATATCTTTTTTACAGCTGGCAATCATAAATATTAATGCAACAATAGCAGGAAACAGAAGAAACGCAAAGTTTCTAGTACGGTTATTAATAAAGTTACAATTCTATGTCTTTCTTACAAAGTATCTTGCGTTTCAGTTTGCAAATCGCAGCAATATTATTGGTTGAAGCCTTATGTATGTATATGCATCATTACTGTTATGCAAGGATCATGTAACATATATTAATTTTGAAATGATACAGTTCAGAGAGCTTTAATTTTAAAATGTTACTATTTTTAGGATAGAAAGAGGAAATAAATAAATTAAATACATACGAGACTTAAGGAAATATTATAAATTAAAGTCAATACTTTATCCTACGTATATCTCATATTACCCCCCCCCCACACACATTCATGCATACATATATTGTATATATATATATAAATAATGTGTGTGTGTGTATGTTTATAATATAAAAAATACGTATTTTGTCGTATACGTTTTTTATCCGTATATATATATATAATATTTTAATTCGTAGTCGAGATTGAAGAGCGGCAAGACGGGACGAAGATGTTGATACCAAACCAAGTCAGCTAATTACCATCTTTATTTCCACGCACATTAGAATAATTCTTCGTAGATAATATAATTTGTTATCACATACAAATACAATAATATATTATAAACACAAATTAACGGGGGCGATATCATTTTAGACGGACAAGTAAAGCAGCGTCGATCTTGGTGCGGTGGAAGCAAGAAGAAGATGACGCAGTTTGTGTTTATACTAAGTACATACAGAAAGAACTCTAAGCCATGTTTGGTTAATTTGAGGTCGTTATATAATTATGGAAGGATCTCGAATTTGGCAGAAAAATTGAATTTAGGGGAAGAGCACCAAATCTAGAATCGTTAATTTTGAAGTCGCCAATTATTTTTAAAGCAGTTATCGCATTTTGTTATATTTTACATATATATACATGTAATAATAAAAGCACAGGAAATAAGACGGAGCAGTGTAGATGCGTGCTTATTTCCATATTGAAGAAGAATTTTGATTGCGTAGTATTTAAAGAACTTGGCAGTCGAGGCAGTTTTAATTCCATTTTTATTTCCATTGATATTTGTGGCCACAATCACTTGGCTCTAGTCGTGCCTTTCCACAGAAGAGATTTACATTTTTGATATTGTTGGGATAGAAAGCAAGCCAGCGAAATTACATCTTAGCAGAATAGAGGGCAAAAGCTGAAGTGCGTAGTTATGAAAGATGGAAGCACGCGAAGAGAAAAGTTTTGGTTTACAATTCGGTGATTGGTCGTCAAGAGGCATATGGTATTAACGGTTACGTAAGATCGCATGATTAATTTGAATGACGCAATGCAGATAAGTTATTACGATTTTAGAATAGAGAGGAAGAACTAATGCTTATAGTTATATTATAATTCTGATTCATATATTTTTATCTTACATACATATACGATGGAATTAAAACTTAAGTAAATTAAAATTATAACGTAAATTACCAATAGCCCCTCAATTCTTCTTTGTAATCTGGGTGCTTCCCATTTTTACTCTAAAAATAGTACTAACTTTCCCTATACTGCCCCATTTTTAGAATAATCCATATCATATGACTTTTAATAAGCTGCCATACAGGATAACTACATATCTTGCTTCTTCTCCTCAGCGAAAGTAGACTATTGTTTGCTGCTTCTCTCCTCACCGCAAAGTTATGAAATATCAGCCTTTTTAATAGAAAGCCTTAGTGTTCGAGAAATTTTAGGTACCGTATTAGCTACGTTATCATCATTATGTAAAGATCATATGATATGGATTATTCTAAATTTAGAATAGACAGAAGAAATCCTAAAATGGAAATGAGAAATTCAGGGGCTATTGCTAATTTCAACTTATAATTTTGTTTTACCTAATTTTTATCTTACATAACTTTTGATAGCTTTGAGGTGAGAAAAGAAGCAGTAAACAACAATCTACATTCGCTGAGGAGGAGCAGAAGCAAAATCTGTAGCTACCAGGTATGGCACTTATTAAGAGAAAGGTTTCGGTTTTAGTTCCGAATTAGCTACGTCGTCATTGTTATGTAAAAGACATATGATATACGAGGGCTATCCAGAAAGTAGATTACGTTTTGGAATAAAAAAATAAACAAAGTATAGGAAACAAATTTTATTATATACAGATGAAAGCCACACTCAAATACTACTTTTCTACATAGTCACCATACAAATTAAGGCATTTATCGTAGCGATGTACGAGCTTGGAAATTCCTTCGTCGAAAAATTCGGCCGCCTGCGCCATCAACCACTTCGTTACCTCTTCTTGCAGCTGTGCGTCGTCATCAAAACGCTGCATAGCCAGCCACTTCTTCATTGCTGGGAATAGGTGGAAGTCGCTCGGTGCCAGGTCGGGACTGTACGGCGGATGAGGAAACAACTCCCACTTAAAGATTCAAGAACTTTACGAGTGACATTTGCCGTGTGGGGCCGGGCGTTGTCGTGAATCAAACAAGATCTTAGAGCTCAACATTCCTCTGCGCTTGTTTTGAATTGCTCTTCTGAGTTTTTGGAGAGTTTTGGCAATACCTTTGAGAGTTTATTGTAGTGCCTCTTTCCAGGAAGTCCACCAAATTACACCTTTTCTGTCCCAAAAAACAGTCGCCATCATCTTCCTTGCCGACATTGTTTGCATGCATTTCTTGGGTTTTTGGGGAGAACTTGTGTGCCCCCACTGCATTGATTGCAATTTCGTTTCACAGTTCACATGTTTCACACCATGTTTCGTCACCAGTAACGATGCGATCGAGTAAAGAGTCACCATCCTTATGGTAAGCGTCCAAAAAGTTCAACGCTGCAGCCATTCGCTGATTTTTGTGGTCCTCTGTCAAGATTTTTTGGAATCCATCTTGCACAAAACTTGTGGTAACCAAGCTTTTCGCTGATGATTTCGTGCAACAAACTTCGCGAAATTTGTGGAAAACTCAAAGAAAGTTCCGTTATTGTGAATTTTTTTTCGATTTTCACGGACTTTAGCATCGACGACTTTTTCGAGAAGTTCGGCGGTCACTATGCTGGGTCTCCCACTTCGATCTTCGTCGTGAACATTGGTTCGGCGGCCATTTTGAAATCTTATGACCCACTGACGCACTCCACCTTCAGTGATAATGTTGTCCCCATACACTTCACGAAGCTGCCGATAGATTTCTATCGGTTTACGGTTTTTTTGCAGTCAGAAACCTTATTACTGAGCGCAGCTCGCGGGATTTTCAATTAACGCAAACATTTCAAACCGTCACAGTATCTGAACGGAGCACAGCACGAACCTCTCACTAGCACGGCTAGATGCAGACTGAGCTGCGCAACGCTCTGACCCCAAGATGGCCGCGCTAGCCCCGCCCCTAGCGGACACAGACGGAAACGTAATCTACTTCCTGGATGGCCCTCGTATTAATATTGGAATTAATCAGTCCAGAAAAACTCATTATTATTTTTAGAATAGAGGGGGAAGTACCCAAACTAAAATAAGGAATTAAGGCGCTATTGCTAATTTTAATTATAATTTTGATTTTTATCTTATATATATATATTATATACACGGATACCTATATAGACTTAAAAATTTGACATTGGTGTATTCGTGTAATTTGCAATATTATATGAAGAAAGTTACATATAGAAATCTGTGAGCATAATATTAAAAAGTGTAATAGAATCGATGGTTGTAAGATTATATATTATATGATGTATTATTACAACTAAAGTTTTCTGCCTTGGGAATTATACTTTCCCTAAATATCTTTGTTAGGAAATCTCCTATGTATTTACATTGCATAGAACTTCAACAAAACATACATGAGTATATACTGTTTGGCCCTAAAAACTAGAGTCCGCCAAGAAGCTATCATTTTAATTAATTTTATCCACGTACTAAATGTAGGAATAAGATTCAGTTAAATATATGATAAAGATAACAGAATAAAAGAAGACAAAGATTTTACAAACGAATGCACGTCTTCAATAAAACCTCTTGTTATAAAATGAATAGACACAACGCATATGGATCATGTTCAAACATTCTTAACTATAAGATCTTTTACTATAAAACTGTTTCAAATTTTTATCCTCTAAAATGAATAAATGAAGAATATAATTACCCTGTTTTAGCAAAGGCTAACCATCTATCCATGAGTCGTTCACTCAGTTGCTCCTCTTCTGGGGTGAAATTTCCATGTAATGGATTCCCGAATACATATTCTAGTTCATCAAAATGAGTACATCCCATCCATTCTGCTAAAGGTGTAGAAGAAGGGCGGTGACTGAATACGTAGAAGAACACAGGATTACGTAAAGAACATATCTCAGCGTTAAAGACAGAGCCACATGTTATCAAGTAGTCTCCAAGCGAATCACTCATCGCTTGAGTATAAGCATCCGAAGTCCCATTTTTAACACTGTTCACATAAAAGTCGGCGATTTTCCCTTCATCCGTCTGCTCTGTGTTCTTGTATATGAATCGTGTTATTTGATAAGCCATTCGTTTGCTTACTGTCTTAATATTATCTATTCCATACACTCCAAAATAATCAGGAGCAGCTGCAGTGAGAAAGAATGTACCCTCATTTTTGTTAACCCCAATTAACATTTCCGTGTCTTTAAAATTCCCTTCCAGATAATTGTAAACAATTGCTTTTGGCACATCAGGAACGCCTATCCGAGGAAGGAATGTTATTGGAATGGATCTTCATCAAAATACCCTCAGCAGCGGAAAGTGCCCTAGCCGGTAATCTTCTCAAGCAACTGACGATGAGTCGCGGATTTGTTCTCAGCGTAATATTCTTGTACGCACAACCAACCAGGGTGGCCAATCTTTGTGAAAATTTATAAAGCCGTCCATCTTTGTCGAAATTCATTGGTTGTATACTAGATCCACTCTGCAAAATGACCCTTTTGATGAAATGTTTTGATATATTTGTTGTAAGATGTCCGGAAACTGACACTGCACCTGCACTTTCACCTATCAAAACAATGTGATGAGGGTTACCTCCGAAAGCTTCAGCATTGTTGTAAATCCATTTTAATGCTAGAACCTGATCATAAGCACCCATATTTCCTTCAACTTCCTCCGTGAAAGCGGAAAAAAAGCCCATTACACCAACACGATAATTTATGGTAACGACTATAACATCTCCACGACTTGCCATCCTAGTTCCATCATAAATGCGCATGTTAGAAGAGCCCATGTTGAAAGCTCCACCATGAACGAAGAAAATTATAGGTTTTAAGTCAGTTCCATTTCTAGAGTAGGGAACCCACATATTCAAATATAGGCAGTCTTCGGTCATATTCTCGATGTCAGGCATATAATAATATTGTGCTGAAGCATTCTGTATGCAAGTTGGAGCTAATTTTGATGCATCATACACTCCGAACCAGGAACGTTTTGGAACTGGTTTCATGAATCTCATTCTACCGACAGGGGGCTCGGCATAAGGGATGCCTAGAAAGGCTTCTACTTCTGGCTCTGATGAAGCTGTTATTCCTTGTACTGGTCCACTATTGGTCATAACTACTCTATCTGATAAAGCCATATTGATGAAGTTTAAGATAAAAAGGAATTTGACATTTGTCAGAATAATAAATACCCTAAAATGAAAAAAGTAGTAATTAAATTTTATTCAATTGAAATAACTATGTGCTTTGACGATAAAATAATCTTATCACAGAAGAGGCATCACACAAAATAATTCAAAATACAATTCATAAGGTAAATAGACATTGTGGTCAAAGATAAAGGGGTACTACATAAAATAGATTAATTTGAAGTTATTTTGCTTAGAATTAAGTTCTGTAGAATCTTTATGGGTAATTTTGTAATCATTTAATTTTTAAATTGTTTTCTCTCAATAATAATAATAACAAAAATAATAATAACTACAGAAATGTAAAATTTTTAATTCCATTTCTATGATTTTTGTATTTATAATTTGTCGTAGGCATATTTATTTAAGAAACAAAACAGAAATCCTTGTCGAGCACATATTTGCGAAACGCGATATTGCACATACTCATAATCTTAATCGCTTCGATTTAATTTTCCAAAATCTAAAATTCATACACGATACGCTGCAGACCGTTGGCTGCTTTGTCACAGATACTCTTGACTCTGAGCAAGTTCCGATCATTTCACTCATATTCAGACAGCTGTAATTAAGTATTTGTCAATGTTTATTTTGTTTTCTTTTTGAATTAGTACATTTGAAATTGCAATTTGAAAGGATACAATTCTAAAAGATTTCCATAAATTTAAAAAGAAGCCAAAGAACCCGTACAAATGGTAAAAGCAGCTGGTGGAGAAGGGTTTGGGTTGCAGAAGACGATAAGGTCAAAGAATTTACTCAGAAGAAGAAGATCGAGAAGCCATGAATGAAGAACTGAGAGATTTTATGACACCAGCCGATAATGAAAGTAGGGATAGGGAAAATGATTAAGCGCCTTCAATTTGCAAGAAATTAAACTAACTATTACAAAGGCACTAGAACTATCTAATTTTGCAATTAAGGTAGACCCAAATGAAGAAAGAAGACACTTTATATGAAACATTGAAAATCTCTGTACTCTTTATCACAAAACTTTTAAAAAGTTGCTTTAGTCGTTGTCCCAAGCGAAATTCATTGTTTTTAAAAATATAATATTTATATGGTAACTCTTAAGAATGCAATTTTGCTGAGCGCGCTACGTATTTTTGACGTAACCCACGCGTTTGACAAGGATTAACTGCATTGTGATTTTAAATTAATTCTTCACCTTGGTATCAGATTAGGTTCGACACCCAGATTTTGGAAAATAGTATATAAATAAATATTTATTTAGCAGAATACTACTACAGAATACAGAAGTGATAGAAACAGGTAATAAACATAATAAATATATTATCAAAGTATAATTTTTTCCCTCACATTTTGGGTTAAATATGTGTTAAATTTCAGGATTACTACATATGTTGTCACAAAAATTTTCATCAATATTTTAATTTTTGCCCCTTATATTTATTAAGGTATAAGGAATTAAATGAACTAAATAAGTGATAAAATAAAATGGCTATAAAATATTCCCGTTTAAATATATGCATTAACAATTTTTCAAGAAATTTCTTTCTTTTCACTTATAAAATTATCTCAAAAAATTTTAGATGTACTCTGAGCCGCCTTATCCATAATTGTTACTCATTTAGCACCACTCAGGAGGCATGTGGGAATTCAAGCTATCACAGGTGCGAGTAACAATGCCTCCCTACGTTGCCCTGCACGTGTGGATTAAGGATATCACGGACCCAGGTTACCTCAGAAATAAAACAAACTGTGAACTTTATTCATAAAAATAAAACAAAACAATCATTTTTCAATGGATATCTTCACATGTAGGTATCGACGGTAACGAAAAAGGCAGACTCACTAGCCAAGAAAGGAACACTTGAGCCACAAAACAGCAAACCACTTCCTCCTGAGTCACACTTTATTTCTGAGAAATTAATGGATACTGTTAAATCTGACCAGGTAGCAAAATCAACAGGCAAATCCTGGGCTAACATTCAAGCAACTTGGAAAACGTTTTGTCAAAAACCCAATAAAGAGGCTGTGGCTAATTTCAGACTGCAAACAGGTCACGATTACATGCCACATCATCTTAATAAAATTGGCTCCTTCCATCTAGTATATACCAAATTTGCAATTCGGGTTTCATGAATGCAGAGCATTTCCTTATCTGCCCAGAACTAGACAAGGAGTCTCAGAAACGTGGTGAGATAAGTTAACTATATTGGAATGCCAGAGCTTTCATGAACTCCTTATAAAGACTACATCTCTTACATGGCATTCCTTGTTTTTTAAATTTTTAACTTTTTACTTTTGTTCCCATGTTCATATGTTCTGGCTCTTACTTTACATGCTTGTTCTTTTTTATTATATATCATTGTCCTTGTGTGATACTTGAGCTGTTTCATATGTTTAGACTGATTTTTCCAATAAAGCCACATGTAACAACAGCAACAATTCTAGATATATAGATAAACCTAAGCTTTTAGCTCATTTAATACGCAATATTTCATAGAATATTTGTGAAAAGTTTCACAAAATTACTTCAATAATATTTTAAGTTAACGATTTCTGGTAACATAGAAGTTGAAAAAAAAATCAAGTTTTTACAAATTAAGTTTAATGTAATGCAAACACAAACAGAAGGAAAAGAAAATGTTACCAAGTATGAAAATGAATAATAATTAGTCTTTTTCCTGAGCACTTAATAACAAATAGAAAGTTTCAGAATCATCTTTTGTACAGCACAAAAAGTATTTAAATGAAAAGGTTTCATTTTAAAGTTATTTAGAGTAGTCTGTGCACCTTTAGACATCAACTTCTGGGCTCATAAAAAGAAACTTCCGGTTAACGGCGTAGGACAAGAACCGCCAAAAAATAATTCTGCTACTGAAGAGACAAAATAAAAGTGGCTTTAGGGAGCTTAACGTATAATCTTTAAAATAAAGTTAAAAGAATCTTTTGAAATATTTCATGAAAACTGACGATTAAAACGTAGTCGGAAATCTTAACTGTGTTAGATTTTTAAAGCAATGAAACAATAAAGTGAAAAATAAAATAAAATCGTAATAATTTTGCATTTTACTTCATTATATATTTGCATCTACAATTATTAAATTGGACGTTTCTCGCCAGCATCGATTCTAGATTAATTAATGCTAAAAATTTTTGATAATAAAAATAAAGATTTCAAGGCTAAAATTAAAACATTCTGCTAAATGAAACATAAAATTGTGTCTCAGATTGTAAGATACAGTACTTCGCTAGAAATGTAATACTAATAAAATAGCATTTGAATTTAATACATTTACGAAGATCGGGAGAGTTACTGGAAGTGTTCGTGGTTTTCCAATATCTAACATGAATATGAAGCAGTTTGGCTAGGATTCCTAAAATATCCTCCACGAAGTCTTCCTTCTTCTTAGAAATGCAAGTTCTAACATTATGTACTATAAACTAAACAACAACAACAAAAAAAAAAAAAAAAAAAAGTCTGATTTGATGCCGATTGGAATTCTTTCTTAAACCTGCTTAGTAAATGAATGAAGGCATAAGCAGACGATGAAATTTTCCGTAGAGAAGAACAGACGGGAATTTTCATTGACGTTCAGATTCATATGGCTTACCCTACTGTGCACTAGATGTGAAAAACCCTGAATGTTTTTAAAGCATGGAATATTATTCAAAATATGTTTATGAAAATGTAATCTAATATCAGTATATTGGCTCACCAGCGGTCGAACGTTAAAAGCCGCTGAACACTGGTAGTTTTGGTCAGGGGTTCGAGTATGGCTAACGGACTGACTGCTTGAGTGTTTTTGTGTTTTCCCGAATGTGCACCGTACATACGAGCCAGTTTCCCTTAAATAAAACCTACATCATCCAGACCGGACATCGCTCACGTTCCATGCTGTGCCTAAGGGTGCAGCACGTAATAAGTAAAAAATAAATAAATAAATAAAATCTAAGAGGTTTCAGATTTTAAATTACGTCCAAAGGGGCGTTTTTTTTTACTTTTTGTGTGTTACCTTCATTTATTAAACATCATGTTTTACGTACTCAAACTATAAAATTGAGTTCAACAGCAATATCGCAAAATAATTTTAAAATAAGCATATCTTTAGAATTTACGATATATAGTCTCGCGCGCTGGAGATAAAAATGTTTTTTTTTTTTCGTACAGTATTGTCATTTCTCGCTTTGAAATCGTTTCGTTTGTTAATCAAAAATTTGTTGAAGTATTACAAAATATGAAATCGATAATAAAACATATTTCAAGTTGAAATTAGAGCTTCCACATGCCCATATTCTATAGAAGATTACATTATTCAAAATTTGATAGCTCTAGGTACTGTTGTTTTATCACAATGCGAGAAACATACATATATTCATGCATATTTTTCGTGATTTAATTTCTTTAAATAAATATAATACAGGGCTATAATATTGGGTGGCAACAATTTGAAAAGTGAAACAACGCTTATCGTGAATCGACGCAAAATGCCAACACGAAATTAATAGTCTTCTGCGCAAATTGCCCCTTTGGACTAAAAAGATATCAGTATGCTTTAGAAGTAATAGAAAAGAGCAATGAAATTAATACTATTAAATCTGTGCGCATCTATGTTTGGTTGATTGGTTGTTTGTAACATCATTTTCTGCGGAACGGCGAGGAATTGAGTTTCGAGAGGACCTAAAAAATTCGTGGGAAGACGTTTCGATCATTCTCTGTAAGAGAATTTAATCAGCCGAGATATTAATTAAAAAACTTAATAATTAAGATGGAAAGGGGTGTTGAGATATAGCTGTAACAGTTAGTAGAAGAATCGCAACGTAAAGTTAATATCAAGTACAATGGAACTTCGGATCACGAACAATTCGATTCATGAACAAATTATTTGAATAAAATTGCCTCGGATGACGAACGGTTTCTCGAATTACGAACATTCAGGTCATAAACACATGATTTTCAAAGATGATTTGAGGTAATCTATGTCACATAACTAACACTCAGGCTTTCTAGAAATATCATTAAAATATTTTTCTTTACTC